GTCACTGAGGGTCTTATCTCAGATGTTCAGGAATTAGCCTCCACAGTTACCTTCATCCAAGACCAACTAGATTCCATGGCTGAGGTGGTTCTTCAAAATAGACGAGGTTTGGGGAACCAGCAGTTAGCATAATGGCTATGTCGCTGGACTCTCACGTAGTCGACTGTGGTTCGCCAAGTCCGGCATCGTTTGTGACAAGATACATCGACTCCAAGAATCTCTCCAACAACATAGAAAACAACTCACCGATGGTCTGCCTGGAATGGTCTCCTCCCTTTCCTGCTCCCCCTCCTTGGCCCATCCATTGGCCTTTTAATTGTTGGCTCACTGGGAACTCTTATATTTAATAGGCACATGTCATTCCTCAAAGAACAAATTGACTCGCTTACTATGCGGCCTATCCAGGTCCACTATACTAGACTGGAGATGGAAGACCAACACTCCTATACTGGTCTCGCCTGAGGCGCTGAATCGGTTAGCCAAAGACGGGTAAGAGAGTCTGATGAACCCAATAACTGTTCAGTCCTTCCACCTAAGACAGGAGGCCCATCACAGCTATGGGACTCTCCAATGACGGGTAAGGATGGACGTGTGGTTCCATAAACGACTCCAACCTAAGACAGGCACGATTCCCCCAGGCCTTTTCTTCATCTCTCAAATTAAAACAGAGAGGGGGGATATGTGGGAGGCTGCGCACCAGGGAGTCTGCCGAGGCCATTTTCATGAGTCTCTTACTATTGCCATCTTGGGCTCAGAGAGCAAACAATTACACGATGCCAAAGGCCACAGTTGGCTCCCCTTCAAAATCTCACCTTCAAAACCATACTCTGATTGGCCACTAGAATCTCTCAGATTTGCATATCCGCCACCTCATGATTGGTTCACAAAAGCAACCAATCATAACCCACCTTTTTAACAACCGATCACCACCCACCAACATGTATATAACCACGATCCCTGGCCCACAATAAACGGACAACCCTGAAGAGTTGTAACACTGTGTCGTTTCCATGCTGTAGCATTGCGCTGTCTTGATCGACTGTCCTGAAGGTCAGGACAGGGTCCTAAGTTATTTTACAGGCAAAAGGGACTTTCCAGGTAGAATTAAGGAGACTGAGTGGGAAGACAGTCCTGGATTATTTGGGTGGACCATGAGGTCACAAAGATCTTCACAGTGAGAGAAGGAGGGGAGAGAGATTTGAAGATGCTACACTGCTGGCTTTGCAGAGAGGAAGGTCCCCCAACCAAGGAATGCAGGTGGCCTCTAGAAATGGCAAAACAACGTGTTTTCCCCTGGGGCCTTCAGGAGAGCCAGCGAGCTTGCCAAAGCCTTGATGGGGGCCCCAGTGAAACTCATTTTGGACTCTTGACCTCCAGAACTGTAAGATAATGCCTTTATGTTGTTTGCAGCTGTGCTGATCTGTTGCAGCAGCAACAGAAAACTAATACAGACTTGCCTGGGAAGCATCCCTCTTCACATTAGCCCTTCTGTGCTGCTCCCAGGACAAAGAATAGAATTGGCACAGAATTACCAACTTCTTTGCACCTCTCATTCTCTCTTGCTTTCTTTCTTGTAATTATAAATGTTAATGGATGTGTAATAGTCGTACTTATTAATAGGATACAGTGTGGTCTCCAATGCATGCACACACTGTGTAATGATCGAATCAAGGGAATTGATGTGACAGTGAAGCCTTTCAGATCGTCACTGCAGATAAGGCAGGGGAGGTGACAGGCAGGGAGGCGAGAGGTCAGAGAGCTGCAGGCTGCAGCAACAATAACGGTCAAGATTGGGCTGAGGGTGGAGGCCGATGCTGGCTGCTCTTAAGAGGGGACGTGGCTAAGATGCGGTGAACTTCGGGCTGTGGGAGAAAGGGAGGGCAGAGGGGTGGTAACTCCTCTGTGTCTGGCCTGGTGGAAAGCAGGAGACGGACCTGTGGTGTCAGTAAGATGCAGAATCCAGCAGACGGAGGCTTGCAGGTAAGAGGAGGAGATAGGAACGAACTCTGGCCATGACAAGACAAGCAATCCTGGGGGACCAGCCTGTGGGAGGTGTCCAGGCTGGATGCTGGATGTCCAGACACCCGGTCACTCACCTGAAAAGCTGAGTCCCCGACAGCCGGTCCAGCCCCCACGTCTGCGGACGCCCTTGCCGATTTCTTCCTGAAGGACCTCACTCTGAGCGAGAGACCCGAGAGCCTCTTTCAGTCTGGCCCCGTCAGGTGCAGTTGCCAGACCGACCGCTCCCACCCCATTTCCTGTTAGAGGGCTAGAGGGACGCCGAGGCGGGAGAGGGCAGTCCAGTCTGGAGGCCCCAGAGTTGAGGGTGCAGCCTCCCTGCTCCCGGACACTGGGCTGCAGGGTGGTGACAGACTCTGAGCCCCACACAGACAGTACGTGTGCAGTCCTCTGCCCCCCCCCGGGCCTC